AATTGACCATCTTTCACAAGGCCAATAAATTTTCGTGATTTCTTCTTCATCTCACACATGCTCTAGAATCATCACTATATTACTCTCATCTCTCTCCCCCATTTTCATACTGTTCAATTAGTTACCATCCACAAATTTCATTCCCCTTTTTTTTTCTTTTCTCCTTCAGATTGCTAAAATCTCATCTACTCAAAACAAAAGCTAGAAGTTCAAAAACCCTAAAAAGACCTTTTTTCCAACAAATCTTTTCTATTTAATTCTATACTTAGTTATTAATGAAAAGTCATCTTCTAATGGAAACATGATTATCTTGCACTTAACTGGTCAACTGCAGTTCGCCCCAATTTTTTCCAAACCAATTATAACAACACAGCAATTAAAATTAAGCGATGCACATATTTTTCTATATTGCCCCAAGAAAAGGAAACGGGTTATTTTTTTCATCTTTATCGCCATGGGAATTCTGCAAGATAACTTCATGCACCAACAAAACATCTCTCAAGAAAGTAATACCTTTGTCTAACCTTCTGTTTGCTTAGTAGTACAAGGACAATATAAACAATAAATGGCACCATGCTCTGAGGCAATGCAGCAATATATTGTGCTGTGGTACAGTTCATTTTTATAATGTATTTAATACATTGTTAATTTCTTCTTGCTATCCAGAGTCATCACTTAGCATTATCAAGAAACCCATAACCATATTGAAATATACATATATCTATCTTGTGTATTATAATTATATTTTTACAAGCATTTAATTCTATTTCAAAAAATGTAATAAAAATAAATGACTTGTTTAAGATTTTGTTGAGATGGCTTTTCTTGAGAAACTGCATAACAAAATTCCTAATATTATAAAAGAGAAAGCTGAAGTCACTATGGAGATTATTGTCGTTGGCAATGTTGAAGCTTAGCAAAGTTTCAGTTTAATGAACAACATTTCCTCAAGAAGATCTTACGCTGTACAGCATATTTCAGATTTACCTAAAATTCTTTAAAGTGGAAACCTTTATGAAAATTTAATCCTGAACTTTAAAAATCAATTTTGGAAAAACATTGCTTGGCCTTAAAATCTTCTAAAAGATCACAGAAGTGGGAAAAGAAGAAACGAATGTGCAATGACTTCTGATGTAAATTGCATCATATGATTCAAATTATTCATAATTTTATGTAATTTAGCAAAAATATATGTGAAAGTTTAGTTTATAAGGTTTTAGAAATATAAGAAACAATAATTACAGCTAGTTGCAACATTCTATAGGTATGCATTTTAAACTATTTTAAAAAGTAATGCCAATTCTAAGTATAACACATCCTAATGAAGACAATTTCATAAGGTATATTATATTATTCAGATATATATTTTTCAGATTTAAAATAATGACACTTTGATAGCTTAACCTTTTGAGTGGCATGGTATTTTGTATCTACTAATGAAGAGCTGCATTTAAATTGCACTTATTAGTTATTACATAGTCACTTATTTTACTTATTGCTTTCATAATATTTCATCTATTAGGATAACTTGGATAATTATAAAAAAGATAGGGGAGTTTTTTTAACATTTTGTGTGTTAAATTTATTTATTAAATATCATGTTCTTCGCACCTAAACTATAAAATTTAATTCAACAGAAATATCACAAAATAATTTTAAAATGAACCTATCTTTAGAATTTCTGATACACAATATCGCATGCTCGAGATAAAAATTTTTTCTCCCCCGTACAGTGTTGCCATTGCTCACTTTTAAATCATTGAGTTTGTTAATCAAGAATTCGATGAAGTGTTACAATATGAAATCTTTAATAAAACTAATTTCAGATTAAAAATTTGGGCTTCCAGTTGCCCATATTTGGGTGGAAACGTACATTATTCAAAAGTGATAGCTCTAGGTACCATCATTTTATTACAATGTGAGAAACATACATACATTTATGCAGATTCTTCATTATTTAATTTTTTTAAATATAACATAGGGCTCTAAAAGCTGAATACTTTTTGATTTTGTTGTCAGCATGCTACAGAAAAGAAGCTATAAAGCTAACATAACTTGTGAAATACCACAAAAATTAACATCAGTCAATATTAAATGCATTTATATACAAAGAATTAATACTGAATTTAAAAGCTCCCTTTTAACCTTTTCGTGACCTTTGTTTAAGACGCTCGTGCGGGATGGAAGGGAATTGAAGGCAGTCACCGTACAGGACGGAGGTTTTGCATTGTTAAGCCTAATTTTATAAAAAAAATTTCACTTCTAGCATCGTAAGTTTTGGTATCATTTTAGATTATTACTTGAGCTCTTATATATGTTAAATTTAGCACACAATAACATTTTTTTCTTTATTTTACATGAAAATATACTTAAAAATTTCCTTATCTTGTCAAATAATTTTCGGAAGCACTATTGAAATTATTCCAAAGTTTTAATTGATAAAATCCATCAATAAAGTTTAAAATAAATAAAACAACACAATAAAGACTATTTACAGTAAAAAGTAACAAAATTAAAAATGAAGACTGTGGTAAATCTCGAGGCACCGGGAAGTATCACTTTCTAACTGTTAGAAAAAGTATCTTTCTAACTCTTTAGTAAAATATCATCACTCTCATCTGCATTAGTAAATGGTTTTCATTAACCATATGAGGGTATTCTTCCTCTGATAAATAGCACCTTCCTGCCATAATAGACTAGAGGTGAGGCTTTTTGAAATAAAAAGAGAAGAAACAGGAATATATCTGAAGGCAAGGCAAAACGTAACAGTTTTGCATTGCACATAGTAACCCTAAAAGACCGTCTATAGTAGAGGGGGAAAATAGAATAAAAAAGGAATCGGATATAAATCAGACATGCGAATATTTATGTTAGCATGCGGCGATTTAAAGAGCCCACCTCTGTTTATGCTTTCCCTCCCCCCAATCCTCCCAACAGTTGATGAGTAAAATATCAAAGTCAGACAAAATATATCAAACTCAAGATCAGAAACCTAAAACTGTCTTCATTCCAAAAGTAATGGACATAGGATGTCATCTAGTGGCCTTCAGAAAAACGTTCCCGCTTAAAATGCATATATGCATCACCCGTCTTCTGAATGCAATCTCTAGATATGCGTGGATGGGACGCCCGGCTGTAAGAGACATTCTAAGTGAATGCATATACGGGACGCCCGTCCTGAAAGGTTAAAAATACCCTTAATTTAATCTTTTGGGTACATTTCCTTCATGTTACCTAAAAGATTTTTTCAGGGCACATCAGCAGATATTTTTTTGTTCAAAAGTGTTGAGAACTGAATATATTGCAATATAAATTTGTATAGAAACAATATGGATATTATATACTAGGCAAATATATCTCCACTTAACATTTTATGAAAGTAGCATATTCCTGTAAAATCTTTGATAAGCTGAAATGCATAAAATGAAGAATCAAATATACAGTAAACCTTCTCAGTATTCTTCTAGCGTATTTCAGGATCTTATCTAATTTGATCTTCTAAAGGGGTAACTGTCTTAAAAAGGTGATATTAATAGGGCCTTTTGTTTAATGTCCTCAAAAATAGTCACAGAAAGATCAAAATGGTTTCTGAGTTTTTCAAGAAAATCCATTTAAGAGTCTGAACAATTTTTTTTTTTAAATTTATGTTACTAAACACAATAAAATTAATTAAAAAATTCTAAAGCAGAAATAATGTTTTCAAGCCTCTAACCCAGAATTTATATATATATATATATATATAAAAGCAAATTTTGTTTGAAAATATATATAAAAATAGGCCATTTTAAAATAAGAAATTCAGAAATAATATTTAGCTTCAGAATAAACACATCTAATCAACTGATACTTCACTATAAAAAGCAAAAATCTTTAATAAGTGAAACAAATGTTTCATATTTACTAAACATTTTTCTAAGTTCGTTACACTGAAAATATTAAGCAGTAATTTAAAATATAATTTAAATCACAGTTTTTAAAAATTTAAAAGAAATATTAAAACCATACCTGAAGATACACATTTTATTGCATGAAATTTCAGGTAATTTTAAAGTGAGAAATGTATAAGGCCCATTTTCAAATTTTGCCCCAGAAGAAAAGAAAGAAAATTCGAGATAAATTAATATTTAAAGTTTAATTTGAGCAATGCATTGCATAAAGATGATTATAAATATATTTTTACAATTTAAAATATAAAAAAATCGATTTTTTTAGATATAAATCTTTAAAAATGTAATCGTAGGCAAATATGCCTCTACCTTTCAAGTTTTATGTTATTAAACCTCTTTGTTTTGAAACCATTTTTTTTAAATAAAGAAGATTAATTATTTTAAATATGAACTATTAGAGTTATATTGATGATAAAAAATAATTACAGTTTTTTTTTAAGCAAATCAATAAAAAAAAAATGTTGTCTTCCATTTCATGTCAAGTCCATAACCTTGAGATTTTTTTACCCACAGTTAATTTGTAAATCTGCCTAAAAGGGGCAGTACATGTTCAGTGACATAGATAAATTACCCAAGCTACGTTTGACTAGTTTGAATATGTGCTGCTCTATTGCTCCATTTAGGCAGATTTACAAGCTAATTGTGGGTAAAAGAATCTCAAGGTAACGAACTTGACGTGAAGTGGAAGACAAATTATTTTTACTGATAAGCTAAATTTATATCTAAAAATTTTCAATTTTCTTTATATATATATATATATTAAATTGTAGAAACATATTTATATAATTTAAATCACAGTGAATGATTAATTTGAGCAATGCATTTCATAAAGCACTGTTAAATCACAGTGCTTTATGCAATGCATTGCTCAAACTATACTTTAAATATTAATTCATCTTCAATTTTCTTTCTTTTCTTCTGGGACAGCATATGTAAGCAAAATTTGAAAATGGGCCATAAAGTATATAATAAAAAATCATTTGATGCACTTTTGAATAAGAGAAGAATAGTAAAAAAATGCACATAATATTAAAAAACACAGAGAAAACTTACCTCATAATAAATTCGAGTATCAATTATTCTTGCCAATAAATTGTCAACACGCAAAAAGAACCTCATAAGTACAAAAAAACTATCAGGCATAATTCTCTGTAGAAATAAACAATAATAAAGATATATAAATTAGACAAATCAGAAAAAAAGAAGAGTAATATATATTTTATATAAAGTATTTTTGATAATTGTTAATCATTATGACCCCAATTATTTAAATGAAATAAATGTATTTTGCAAATCGTCATTAATTGTTAGCAATCCAAACCATGATCACTTATAGTCTGCCTATCACAAAACAGCTCTAAACTGGATTGCCACTTTGATACATGTATAACCTAAAGGAATAATAGGTTTAAAGTAATAAGTTAAGAAGTTGCATGACCAAAGACTTAGAACTAGAAAATGCTTTTCTGCTATATTAAAAACAGTCATGGAAATATGGCAGACATAAATTGTATGCAAGAAGTAAATATAATTAATATAATTGCTATGTAAGTTCTTAACTTCATCTCAATTAAAACTGGATAATCTTGTCATGTTGGTCTCATTTAAATAATGGAGGCTGCAACAGTAAGGAAGTACCATACTTATTCATAAAATTTGTGTATGAAAAAATATCAGTTATTTTTTATTACTTATATTACATTACAAATAATGGGCAACCACACCTAAAACTTAATGGGTATCAAGCAAAATTATCACTTGACAAATCAACTTGCCACAATTTGCTTGCTTATTTAAAATAAGTATAATAAAAAATCTATGAAATACACATATTCCTAATTTTTGGGTTTAGGAGTCATGCAGCTACTGGAAACCAGGTAAAAAGGAAATTAGCACTAGCAATGAACTTCACTTTGCAAACTCTGAATGTGAAAAAATACATCCACATGCATAAAATTTTAATCATGCCTAAAAGATATTAATTCAATGATTTGTTTTACGTACAGAAAGATAAATGCTAGAAGAAGGAATTCAATCACCGAAACTACTACAGAATGAGGGAATGCATTATGTCTCCTTTAGTTCAAGGAATTACATTTTATGTCATTCTTAAGAATGGCAACATGGAACTCACTTGCTTACAGACAAAATGGCATACACTGAAAAAGCAATGTGCTTTCTCTGGCTAAGGGAAACATTTCTGAAGGCATGAACTTAATAAACCTTCGCCAAAGGAACAATCACTTAAAGATGATTAAAACAGCTTTCAGAGAGTTGACATGTATTACATAAAGGAAGTGCAAGTAGACTACAAGTTAGTAATGAAAATGTTTTCGCCATTCGAGATCTATTTGTGAGCAGTCCCAGTAAATCTGCTGGCCATGCCAGCCAGCAAACAGGAATTCTCGGTTCGACTGTTGATAACTGAATGATTGCAACTGACTTCATATAAACTGCGGATTTGTCAATAAATAAAACCTAATGGTTCAGTCATAAGGAATTTTCTGTACACATTCTTGACTATATCAGTAATGACAATCAATTTCTTCAGAAAATCATATTCAGTGACGAAGCATCATTTCATGTTTCAAGAGAAGGTTAATCAGCTTGCTGCAGGGATTTTAGAATCAGAAAAATTTGATTGTATACTGGAAATTCAACAAGACAGCTCTAAAATTATCATTTGGTGTGTACTGACTCGTAACAAAATGATTGGTCCTTATCCCCCTCCGAGTCATCAATTAATCTGGATATACTGAGACTGTTTGCTGTTCCGCAATTAGAAGAAATGTAGCCAAGCATTTTTTCCAACAGGTTGGGAACCATGTCCATAAGACTACACATGTGCATGATTTTCTTAATGAAACTTCCAGATTGTTAGATTGGTAGAGAAGGACCAATTTCATGGCCATGCTGTTTTCAGGATGTCACACAACTTGACTTTTTTTCCTGGAGATACCTGAAGAACCAAGTTTATGCTGCACAGAATCGCTGCATCAAAGAATAAAAAATCAAATCGCTATTGTGCCACTGCTTTACACGTATCGCACCTTACTTTTAGTTTCTTAAAATATTATTCATATTTTAGACAAATATTTTATTTTTAAAATCGCAAGAATCAAATAGCATAAGATTAAAAAAAGGTTAATTTAAAATTTAAAAAAATACTAAATTTTATGCAAAAATATTATTTTTTCTTCTTAATGCCTTGTCATTTTTCTTCAGGTGTTCTCCAAATATATTTAAAATCATTCCCCTTTTTTGTTCGTTATATACCACAAACATTTTTTAAACATCTTGGTATTTCTGGGATTCATAAGAGAAAAGGTATTATCTTTTTCTTTATCAGTATTTGGTCAGAGAAAAATAGGGAAGAGACTTCTACCATGGTACTGAAAATCTTTAGGGGTTAGGTATTTTGAAAGCATGAGTTGAAAGGAAAGACTGGCTTCATCAACAGGGAAAATGTCTTTAGATAATATCCAAATATATGCTTTGAAAAAGGACTGGACCAAAATATCCCCAAATGGCTGCCAAGTCTGGTGACTTTTGGCGATTTCTCACCAAATTACAAAGATACCTATTTTCTCAATGTTAAACAGACTTGACCCTGTATTCTTACTTTTTTGGCATAGCTTGTCTCTCTAGATTTATGTTACATTACACATAAAATTCAACAATTTCACATCTAATTGCACTAAAATCATCTATGTACAAAATTCATAACAATATTTCTGACATATTGTTTGACACACTTAGAAATACTGAATGCATATATGATGCACAATTCTGAAATCTGCGAAACAGATTCTGTTGCTTATAAAATGAAGTAAAGTAGCAGACATTAACACGGCGATGGTTAAAATTTACCGTTAGACATTAATTTTAAAAAAAGCTTTTCATGTAGTGTTAAGAAAGATTTATTGTGCATCATTAATAAAACTGAGAAAAAAATTCCATATGATTTAATTCTCTGTAAAAATTTATTTGGAATGTAGCAATATATTAAAGATTAAGCTACATTTGGCATTATTATTGCTTAAAACAAAGATGCCAAATTTTAAAACACCAAAATACAAATTCATGCATATCTTCATGTACAAATTCACGAAATTTTGAATAAAAAAACAAATTTTTTATGGGTATGTCTAAAAATACATCTATTTAAGCTGATGGAAAAAAATTACAACACAAAATGTTTTTGAAAAATTTTCAAAAATTACTAAAAAATACAAATTTTAAAAATAAATCAGAAAAAAAAATGTATGAATTTTATTTGAATTGAACCTAAATTTCAAACTATCAAAGAAGGAAACAATTAAATTTAATAAAAAAAGTGATATTAATAAATACAGTCAAAAGTCGTTAATTCAGACACCCATAATCCGGAATGATCTATAATCCAGACCTCAAAGCTAAAAACTTTCTGTGCATGCGCCACGTTGACACATGCGCATAGGCATTTACGCGTGCGTGTAAGACCTTTTACATCTGTGCATATGCGTGTGCACAAGCGCAGAATATGTTTTCGCGTGCGCGTTGTATGTATAACGGACGGTATATGCTAAAATTATCTAATTATCTATTTCAGTTAATGTTGATGATTGCGTTGTTCCTTAATTTTTGAATTGGATCCGGCTTATTATTTTTTGCAGACTGTAAGAGCAATACTATAAAAGTAAACTTGAACTTTCGATTATGTCAAATAGAATTTCCGATTCTGGAGCTCCCAAAGGATCGTACAAAATGAAAGTATGTTTCCATGTCCCTCAAACAAAAAGTGGAATTGCTGCAAAAAATGGATAAAGACATGAAGAATGTGACAGAGAGGTTAGTGAAAACGAAAAAATTTCGATTGACAAGTTAGTCGGTATTCTCGGCACAGCAATTAACGGGACTTGAACAGCGGAACTTTGTAACTGAAAAAGAAATTATGTCTGTTTATAGAATTAAAGAGAAAGTATTATCCCATAAAACGAAGCAACTTAAACAACTTACATTGAAAGAAATGTTTAATAAAGTAAACAAATAAATATTAAGCTTTTTTTTTTTTTTTTTTTTTTTTTTGTAAATTTTGATACCCTTTAGATCATAATTGTTCTTTATTTCATAAATTACGGTGTCATATTTTTAATTTTAGAATTTCTGCATGCCATCTTACGAGATTTAAACTGATGATCTATAATCCGGAATCGCCGAAGTCCCGATGAGTCCGGATTAACGACTTTTGACTGTATACACTCAATGAAGACTGAGAAGCTAAAAATTTTGAGAGCTAACTTTTTAAATACTACATATGAGTTTTTACAATGGCACTTAGACATATGATCAAACAGTATATTATTTAAAAAAATTTTCTGATTTTGTGATAAAATACCTATGTTAGAAAGAATGCTAAATATAAATCTAACATATTAATCTAAGTTGTGTTTTTGAAATGAAAAGACAAGTTGAATTTTGTCATTCGCCAATCAGCAGAAGAGAGGTTTTTTTTTTTTTTTGGAGTGGCTGTACATGTAAGTGTCAATCATCCTTAAGTTCTGGAGACATGTGTAGGCATAAAATAAAATAAGCTGCATGTTTCCACTCAATTACTTCAAACATAAAGTTTCAACTTAAGACTAAAAATCTATCAACTTGGAACCTGAACTTATGCATGCTTTAGAATATTGCAGATTTTATGTCATGGGTGAAAAGTCATAGATTTAGACTTAAAGGCAAAATAAATAAATTCATAAAAACACAAAAGTTTTTTCAAACTTTTAAAGAGAAATACATATTAAACTTACAATAATTTCATATGAAAAGAAAATCATGATTAAAAACCACATAAAAATTCATTTTCTTTTGCATCTTTCAAACAACTGTTTACAGTACTTTGTTTAAAAACTTTAAGATATTCTTATGTATATCAGAGTCTTCTTCTTCCAAATTATAAAATCCGTACTAGTAACTTTAGCAATTCACAACATTTGGTTTTACTTTTGGTTTTGAATTTTCCTTTTACCCTTGCCTACATGGATGACGAAACATGAATTGAATAATTGAAGAGTTAGGCATGGAGGCAACTTCTCCTTGATAAATCTGTCTCCTGCCTGATCAACAATTATTCACTTATGCATTTTTATAAACTTTTAGGATTAAAAAAA